TGTACGGACTGGGGGCAGTTCTAAGCCAGGTCGGGGACGATGGAGGGGAACACCCTGTCACGTACCTGAGTAGAAAGTTATTACCCAGAGAATTGAGCTACGCGGCAGTGGAAAAGGAGTGTTTAGCCCTGGTCTGGGCTCTAAAGAAACTCACACCCTACCTGTATGGTCAGGAATTCACCCTGATCACGGACCATAACCCACTAGTATGGCTGAACCGAGTAGCTGGAGATAATGGACGCTTGCTGAGATGGAGCTTGGCCCTGCAACCCTACAATTTCTCCATCCAATACCGCCCTGGCAGGTTCAATGGGAATGCAGACGGACTGTCCAGGCAAACAGAACTTTTACCCTAACAGCAGACCGGACAGCCCCAAGTTGACCCGAAAAGGATCAATCCGGGTCTGCCAGAGTGTTCCACAAAAGGGGAGCAGTGTGACGGAACAATGATTTCTGCCTGGACACCTTTAAAAATAATACAGATGGATATACAAAGTACCGAATTGCTTGTTGCAGGTGAATCGCTATTACCCAAGAATGAATCCAAACTACCGAACACCGGACCACCCTGGTGTGCAATTAAGTGATACTTTACCTCCCAGCTCTATTTCAGCCGTTCGCATGGTTCAGCACGAATTCTTTGTGCTAAGCATAGGTGGCCGCCATTTCTGGACTTTACACGTGTTCGCGGCCATCTTACGCACGAACAGCCGTGTTTGCCAGCAATCGCCTGGAACTAAAAACGGATACGCAAACACCGCTGAGACCTCCAGGACAACGTAGATTCGTGCTGAAACTACCGAACGGCCGGCCGTTCAGTAGAAAGACTAAACCTTACATGGGGATTCCGGCGAACACCGAGATAGCTGTGGATGGCAAGGGTTTCGTGGGGTTTTAATGCACGAACGGAGACCGACCGCAAGGCCAAAACTTGTGGAACTATTTTTGGCTAGAAAGTCTGTGTGGTCGGTCAAAACTTCCATAAGATCCATAACTCCTGAAACCTTTAACCGAATGAGCTGGATTTTGGATATGTTGTTCCCCTGAACCAGAGCTATCTGGGGATACTGGATTTAAAGATGTACCCCCTGTTTTTGGGGGTACATCCAGAACTTGGGTAAAATTGTGTGTGTGTGTTAATTATGTTAAATGTTTATCTGAGGGGAGGAGACGTGGGGGTTGTACCATGAATGTGATTGGTTATTGTGTTAATTATGTAGGTGTAGCCCTTTCCAGGGCAGCATTGCATAAAAGGAGACCCCTGTCAATAAACATCAGTTCTACTTGACCCTTCAAAACGTAGCCTCGTCTCGTTCTTGGAAGGGGATTTATTGTACAGTTACTCTGCTCCATTTTACAGTGATGCCTGACTCTACCCTTGGATATCGTGGATGAGGATAAAAACTCTATTACTACACAGCAACTTGCCAGGAAAAGGACGTCTCCAACGGCAGATACCCCTTACCACTTGGGTAGCCGTTACAGTCAGCAATACACTTGGACTGTCATGCCTCAAGGTGCACAAAACTCTCCCAGCCAGTTTGCAAGATCCCGGAGGCCTCCCTCCTCATGCAACCCCTCTATGATGCCCTCAGGTCCTAACCCTTTTCCCTGTCTTCTGAAGCCTTATCCAGCTTCTATGCCCTGCAACGAGCCTCCCCGACTACCAGAAACCCTTTCAGATGTTCATATCAGAGAGACAGGGACATGCTACTGGGGTCCTCACTCAGTCCCAAGACTCACTTCAGCGCACCATTGGCTATTATTCTTTCCAACTAGATCCTGTGGCTAGGGGAAGCCCCTCCTGCCTTAGAGCAGTATTTGCAGCACATGCCCTCACTGATAAGACCAATGATTTGGTACTTGGTCATCATCTTGTCATCCTTGACCATCATGACATTGCTGCCATCCTTAACCAAGTCCAGCCCAAACATCTCTCTGCTTCCCGCCACCTCCACTTACAGTGCTCTCTCTTACTCCCAGACAATGTGTCCCGGCACTGGTGTTACTCCCTTAACCCGTCCACTCTTCTGCTGCTTCCCAAGTGGGGACTTGGTACAGCCTAGACCATGTTTTTTCTTCTGACTCGAATCATGCCCCCCGTCCCACATGATACTCACACTTTCCCTCACTGCACTTTGTGGTACAAACCCACCCCAGGACCCGACCCCCACTATGAGGAAGACCTGTTTCAATTGGTGGAAGGGACCTGTTCTGCGACTCCAAAGGCAACTGTATGACCCTTGTCCTCTTGCCCTTGGAGTGAGTACCTATATCGTCACTGGGACTCAGTTGTCCCACACATCTCCCTAACCAGGTCCCCTCAGACCTCATGGAAAGAACAAATTATGGAGCACTGAGGACCAGACCCAGCTCTCAGAAAAGGGTATCCCCAAACAAACCCTGAAATGGAGTGTAAACGGCTTTCCCCAATTCCACACAGAAGATGCATGTACCAAAGCCTTGGACACACCTCATGATTGCTTTGAGCAAATGAAGATGAAGACGACACACCTCCCAACTGTATATGATGCTGCCTTACAGGAGCCTGACATCACTCTGTTTGTAGATGGCTCCAGATATGCTGATGAACAAGGCAGATACCATACTGGATTTGCAGTCACCACAGTGGGTGCAGTACTCCAAGCATCTTCACTCCCCTCAACCATTTCTGCACAAGAAGCTGAGCTACAGGCCCTCACTACAGCATGCAAGATCTCTGAAGGAAAACACGTCAATATCTACACTGACTGAAGATATGCACTAGGCGTGGCCCATGACTTCGGAGTAATCTGGAAGACAAGAGGATTTCTCACAGCAACTGGCACACCGGTCAAACACAGCACGGCTATCAATGACCTGATGGATGCCCTACTCCTCCCTGAAGAAGTGGCCATACTGAAGCTAAAGGGCAGTGGGAGACTGAATTCGGATGAAACACAAGGCAACCGTCTAGCTGATCAAACCGCCAAACAAGCCGCGTGTGAACCATGGGAAGTGGACAGAAGAGTGTCCACCGAAGAAACCCCCATATTCACCATGCAGGCCCTGCCAACGGATCTTAAGCTCTTGAAAGAATTGCAAGCAGCTGCTGACCCCAAAGAAATAAAGAGCTGGAAACAGAAAGGGGCAACCCTTAAAGATGGGTTTTACTCCAATAACCTCAAGTTCTGTTTACCCAAAAGTATGTACCCAGCAGTGGTCCAGTGGGCACATGGAACGTCACATCTATCCAAGACCCTCATGAACTCCCTGATCAACTAGTACTATGAAGCACCAGGAATTACTCCCTTGCAACGTCTGTGCCAAATGTAACCCAGGCAGGATGGAGAAAGCCCCCAGAAGCATCTAGCCAAACCCCTCTATCCCTTCCAAAGAATCCAGATCGACCATATTCAAATGCCAAAGAGTGGCCGGTTTGAGTATGCACTAGTCATAGTAGACATGTTCTCAGGATGGACAGAGGCCTACCCGGTCACCAATATGACAGCCAAGACTACGACCAAACACCAGTTCACCGAAGTGATACGCAGATGTGGGGTCCCCGAGGTAATAGAAAGTGATCAGGGACCAGCCTTCACTGCATTGGTAACGAAAGAAATCGGGGCAGCACTAGGGGTGACCCTTGCATTCCACACACCCTATCACCCCCAGAGTAGTGGTAAGGTAGAGCGCATGAATGGCACCCTAAAAGCTAGAATGCTGAAAATGGCCCAAGAAACTAACCTGTCATGGCCAGAGAGCCTCCCAATTGCTCTGTTAAGTGTAAGATACACACCGAGAGGGAGGTTTGCTTTGTCCCCCTATGATATCCTGTTCAGATCAGCACCCAGATTTGGATGCTATTTCCCCCAACAACTCCAACTCCACTCTGATGTATTGGTTGATTATGTAATTGCTCTCTCTCGTGCATTGACCAAAATCCATGCACAGGTGTTTTCTTCTATTACGGTACACCCAGGTATAAGAGGGGTTAACACTGCTAAGGACGTTCACCTTCCGAATGGAGAAGCAGCTAACGAAAGCTCCAATTAGCCGAACAGGAAACATACGAAATAATCCACAAACCAAATAGCCGAACAGGAAATCATGCGAATATAAATCCCCCCAAGAACGAGACAAGGCTCCGTGTTAAGGGTCAAGCAGTGATCTGTTTAATCAGGGCTACCTGCCCGGTATTTATGTGGGTCCTCCACCAGTTGGACACTCCCCTAGGGGACCTGGTGGAAAACTGTGACAATTATAATGCAGTAGCCAATGAAAACACTTTGGCTATAACACTCCCCTTTTACTGTACAGAACCCTCCTCTCTATCCTGGAGATAATTGTGAAGTAATCCAATTATATCCAAGGACAGAGGCAAAACTCCATTTCATGCATGACAATAAAAATACATAAAAATATATAACTTGCACACTACCGAATGCACTATACGCATTTAACGTATCCCGAGATAGCTTAGATCTGAGCGCACATTATTACCGAATGGCGCTCAGATCATATACATACAGTCCAATTGCCATGGAGCCAAAGTCTTTCACATAGTCTTTCAGTATACGAATGGGCTCCATGGCGTAGCTACCCGGGGTAAGTCCATTAGTGTAGACAAAGTACTAAACAGGCCGCCGTTCATATGTGGAATGATCAGAAGACGGGAGGTTGGCGGCTTCAGCCGTGTTCGTGAGAAATCATTATAACTCTAGATGTAGCATTTGGAGATATGTAGCAAGATGTTAGTGTCACCTTTCTATGTAGCCTGCTTAAGAGGGTGCTCTTGGGTTTTCGGTTCATGGATGGTGGTTCGTGTGGTTGTCCTCGTTAAGTCTGGATAGCGGAGAAGGTGAATATCTTGTGGTTGGGTATTGGGCTTAATTTCAAGCATTAGGGGCTAGAGATGTTGTCGCCTCCAGTCGGGGAGGTCGTTGGTATGTGTCTGTGGTGCCTGTTTAAGTTTCAATTTTTGTTGGTTTATGTTTTTCCCAGAGTTCCCATGGGGTTGTTCATTGCGTGTTTCTTGCTATGGTTTCGTAGATCTTGTTTGTGTCTACAGCGGTGACACACTGGGTAATTGTGGGGGGGGGTTGCTTCCATTTTCTGCTAATGATGGTAAGTGCGGCAATGATGATGTGGTAGGTAAGGTATCTCTGGTGTTTTTGCGGTGTGTATTGCAGCAGGAGGAGCAGAAAGGTCGCGGGCCGGTAGGGTAGTTGTATGTTACTACATTTAGTGGTTAGATCCGCTACTTGTTGCCAGTACTGTTGGAGCTCCGAGCATTGCCACCATACCATCATAGTGCCTCTGTCTTTTTGGCATCTCCAGCAGGTGTCAGACATGGTGGGGAACCTGTGGTTGAGGCATGTGGGGACCAGATACCATCTGTATAATATTTTCCGGGTTAGTTCCAGGTGGGTCGTGTAAAAAGTCAATTGTTTATGTGCCTTGAAGATGATTTGCCATTGGGCCTCTGAGATTTGGCCTCCAATGTCTCTTTCCCACGCTGATATGAAAGAGGTTTTTTTGGGGGGGGGTTGGGTGTGTTCCGATGTGTATATCGTGGATATGAGTTTTTTTAGTTGGTTTGGTCGTTATACATATTTGTTCTATGGTTTGCCAGCGTGGGTCAGACTTAGTAGGGGGTTTTGGTTTTGGTTGTTGGGCGAACCAGGATTGTTGTGGGTAGTGCAAATTCCTGTCTCAGGTCCGAGAATTTCTTCAGGTGGGGGCCGTGTGTTAGTTGTGATATCATTTTTATTTCTAGTTGAAATCAGGTATGAGAAGTTTCAGTGATTCCAGTGGGAGGGCTGGGGAGGTTTGGTTGGTGTTACCTATACGTTTTTGGTAGTTTTCCCATATGGAGTCGGTAAGCGTGGTTGTGGGCAACAGTTCGGCGTTTCTTGGTCTCTGGGATTTCGTCAGCCAGGCCAATGCTGATATGGGTATGCCGTTTGCATAGCTCTTTTCTATTTTGGCCCATGCCATTATTTCTGGTTGGTGCAATGCTGCTAATAGGGGTGCTATGTGGGCTGCTCTGCAGTATCCTATTATGTCTGGCATGCCCATCCAGCCCTGGGTGAATGACCGGTGCATTGTGGATTTCGCTACTCGTGGTTTTTTGTCATCCCATACATAGTCGCTTAGGAGATTTTGCAAATCGCGGATGTATTTGTGCGGGAGTCGTAATTGGAGCATACAAAAGAGGTATTGGATTTTTGGTAGAGCCATCATTTTCACAGAAGCTATTCGGCCTGCCCATGAGACGAATTTCCCTTTCCACCCTTGTATTGGTGTTCGCATTTCACTAAGTAATTTGAGATAATTTGCTTTGAATAGTGTGTTGGGTGTGAAGTTGACCCCTAAAAACTTTGTGGTCCAGCCTCCAATCGTATGTAAAGTTGGTTTTGAGTTGTTCCATATCTTGTGTAGGAACATTGATTCCTAGGGCAAGGGTTTTTGCGATGTTCAGTTTATAGTAGGAGCAGCGACTGTTCTGGGTTAGACGTTTGTGGAAATTGGGGAGGGATATATGTGGTTGTTCCAGAGTTAAAAGGATGTCATCTGCAAACAGGGACAATTTGTATTCTTGACCCTTGATTTTTAACTGCGTGTTTGTTCAGGTCGTCCCTTATCAGTTGTGTCAGGGGCTCTAGATTTAGTATGTAGAGGGGGGTGGGGGGAGCGGGCAGCCCTGTCTAGAGCCCTTGGAGATGGAGAATGGTTTAGAGATGAATCCCCTGTTTACCACATGGGCTGTTGGGGCTGAGTAGAGTGCTGAGACTAGTGACAGGAATTTGGGTGGGAAGTTGAATTTACGGAGGACCGCAAGGAGGAAAGGCCAGTGGAGTCTATCAAAAGCCTTTTCCGCATCTAGAGACCCTCCCTCCCCGCAGCCCGTATAGCATATTGAGGATTTTGCGTGTGCCTCCCACAAACCCCACCTGATCCTCTTTAATGAGTGTTGGGATGACAGGTGCTAGTCTGTTTGAAAGGATTTTGGCAATGAGTTTTACATCCGTGTTCAGTAGGGATATCGGACAAAGATTTTGGCTGCTGTCCGGCGGCTTACCCGGTTTGGGGAGAGTGGCAACATGAGCATTTCTTGCTGTTAAGACGCCACGGGGGTTTGTAGGGTCATTGTGACAGATGTGTGGTCCGACCACTCTATGTTTCCTATAGAGCAGTCCGTGATCTGTTGGAGGAGAAGCCCCGATGAGAGGATGTGGTCAATTCTAGAGTAGGTCTTGTGGACCTGTGAGAGGAATGTGTATTCCCTAGCTGTCGGGTGGAGTGTCCTCCAAATGTCACATAGGCCATGGTTTTGTAATAATTTTGTGAATGCTTTGTTGTTACGTTTGAGTGTGGTGTGTCTGTTTGAGGTGGCAGGAGCTGTTGAGTCAATGCAGGAGTCCATAGTATGGTTTAAGTCCCCACAGAGCAGTACTGGGGAGTTCGTGTTGGCTGGCAGTTTAGTGAGGACTTTGTGTAGGAAGTTATGTCAGTTGTCGTTTGGGCTGTATAGGCCAACTAGCAGGAGGGGTTTGTTGTTGATCAGACAGTGTAGTATTATGAACTGTCCTTGCTTATCTATTTTGGTTTGCAGTGGTTCTACCGTGAGGGAGTTATGAAGGAGAATGGAAACTCCCCTGGATTTGGAGGTGTGGGTTGTGTGGAATTGGTAGGGGTATTCCTTTGTTGCAAGTGTGGCGGTATGGTTGGAGACAAAGTATGTTTCTTGTATGCAGACTACGTCCGCTTTGGTGCGTTTCAGGTCATCTGATAGTATACGTCTTTTATGGGGTGAGTTTAACCCTTTGACATTATGAGAGTATATTTTCATGGTGGGTGTTGTGAGTTATAGCGTGAGGTGGTGGGGCCTGCTGGGGTTTAGATGTAGTATTTAGGCCTTGTTTACACTGTGCGGTGGGTTGGGGGTAGGAGGTTTTGGGGGGTGTCTGGGTCAGGCTAAAGGTGTAGTCTTTTGACCTGGTAAGGTCTGGTGTGTCGGTCACACCGTGGGGGGTGGGAGTCTAGACTACCAGTCAAGTGGCTGTCTGGGCTCCATTGTAGATTATGAAGTCGTGCAGAAACAATCATAACTTAAACAATACAGAATTATAAACATCAAACAGTTAACCTTTGCAGCATTCAATACATCGTAATATTCAATTTGAGTGCTAGCTATATAATTATTTCTTAATGTGTAGATGGCTTAAATAAGAGGCGTTGGCGTGGCTGGTTGCGGAATTATTTACTGGAGGCAGCGTTTATCAGTTTGTTATGCAGGTCCCTACCTTGGGTAGGCAGCTCCAGCGAGGAGGGCTCGTGGACCATTCGTGGCGGCCTTGAGGTTTAATCTCGGCGGTTTAGGTAATTTAGCCGCTTGGGTCCTGTGGAGCTTGTGTCACCCTATAATTGGTTTAGGGTCCTCCCTTAATGGTGGGTGCCCTCTTCCCCTGTCCTGGGGTATCAGCGCTATCGCCTCTTGCCAGCGGTCGAGGCTGCAGCTATAGGGGAGCTCCCTGATAATGGGGGTTTTGTGCCCTCAGTTTGGGACTCCTAACTTGGGTCGCCATGGGCGTGGGGACCTGGTTTAAACACCGCCTCTATGTTACATGCCTGCACAAGTTTTAGCCGGTAGGTGGGTATTATGGCACATATGAGAGAGTTTTAATAACAAAAAGCCAAAGGATTAGATGAAAAAAGATTATACTTTATTAAACAAAAAATATATATATAAAAAATATATATTAAAACATATAAGCAGCTTCTAGTCCTTTACTTAACGCCTTATATGTTTTATTATATATTTTTTATATATATTTTTTGTTTTATAAAGTATAATCATTTTTCATCTAATCCTTTGGCTTTTTGGTGCTGCTGGTTTCCTGACATATCCGTACATCCTTTGGTGGGGATCATACAACCACAAGCCATCTTCACCAGAGCAAGTTATTGCTCTGGATACTGTAAGTAGAATACCTACATTTCTTCTTTAAATTTTGGGTTTTTAATACTGCACCATTGGTTTGTGTATCTTGTTTCTTTCGCTCTCCCATATACATGGTTGGTGAGTTTTGGACCCCTGACCATCCACAGATCCTTAGACGGGGATTGTACCGTCCAGGCGTTGTTCAGCAGAGCTCTTAGTAGCTCTGCAAAGTGTGAGTTTGCCTTCTATCTAAAATTAAGTTTGTTTTAGATCACACCACTTTTTATATTTAAGCATATTGCACTATTATCCGATTATTTTTTTTTCTGGTCCTGCCCACCCGGTGGGCGTTCTTCAGGTAATGTCATGTATTCATGTGCACATGGAAATGTGATTAATGGCATTTACTGTTCTGACAGGAAAGGTTGTGCCGAGCAACATTGCTGTCCTGACAGGAAAAGTTGTGCCGAGCAGCAATCAATCCACAGGAGGGTTTATGCTGAGCAGCAATCCTGTAAATAGGAACCTGGTTACTGCCTTTGGTGTCAATCAGATCCACAGGCGGAGTATTTAGGCCCAGTTCTACTCTTGCTCAGTGCCCTGTCGTGGTTTCTCTTGTGGTTGGCCGAGAGCGCATTATTGATTCTGATTATTTGACTTTGGCATTGATTTTGACTTCCCTGTTTTCTGGCATCCCTGACCCCTGGCTTTTCCTTATCATTGTGTCTCTTTCTGTGTCCTTTGACCTCGGCTATTCCTAACTATTCTTTAATATGTTAGTCAGGCCATTCTAAGGTCCGGAATACGTTACCTATCAGTTGTCTGTGTTACACAATTCTACGTGCTGGATCATACTGTAATCCTGACAATAAGCCACTGTAACGGTTTTTAAGCCCACTTTGCACAGGGTGACATAGTACACTGTAATTATTATTATTGTCATTTATATAGCGCCATCAGATTCCGTAGCGCTTTACAATATTATAAGAGGGGAGGGATTTAATTCTAAATAGGACAATTACAAAAACTTACAGGAACGATATGTTGAAGAGGACCCTGCTCAAACGAGCTTACAGTCTATAGGAGCTGGGGTATAAAACACAATAGGACAGAAGATAGCAGTCAAATAAAGTGGGAGCGAAGCAGAGCTGGAAAAGAGAGTAGAGTGCTGCCCTTGAGGAGAGAGCAAGGGACAGGTATGTGAGGTAGGGGTTACTCTGGGAGGCCATACGTTTTCCTAAAGAGATAGGTTTTGAGGCACTTTGTAAATGGTTGAAGACGGCAGTAGACAGAATATTCCATAGGATGGGAGCCGCCCACGAGAAGTCCTGCAATCGTGAGTTGGATGTACAGGTGCGAGCAGCGGACAGAAGGTCAAAGGGCAAAGCGGAGAGACTGAGATGGGGC